GTCCTGGGGAAGTAGCATTTACTTGCTAAAAGTAGAGGAAGAGGATCGAGAGGAAGGTCAAAGGCCTCTTTGGAGGCACCAACCCCTCTCGCAGCAAGCGGCGGTGCCAGCAGCCTCTGCTGTAGCTCTGAAATCGGAGCTTTGCTGTAGTGCTGTGCTCAGGATTAGCTGGGAATCCTGATGAGTGGGACGCTTCATACGAGTCTACCATATTTATTGCGGGGCGTCGTCTTTTGTAGCCCAAACCCAATTATCTGATATTTACAGCTTGCTCATAGCTGCATTTAATAACCGAGGTATCTAACAGGCAGCTTGGCGCTAGCGAGAGCCACCGTGAGCACTGCTATTTCGCTTTTACCCTTTGCTGTAGCGATGGCCTCTGGTGAAGGAAACATTGCCCGCCAAAGTGGGGCCTTTTGAGCAATTTTCAAGCATCTTTTGAACTTTGAGTATTTCTTTGAGGAAGAGTTGCAAGTTAGATTTTTCATGAGTGGTCCCCAATTATGAATTACTTTCAGGTCCCAGCTCATCTCTCGGGATCTGAGCATGAGCATAAAAGGCTGGAGAACTGGTGACAGAGAGGTGAAAGCCCGTTTTAATGTGCTGTCTGAGTTACCGCTGGGCTCATTTCAACTGGACACCAGGACCAACTTCTGGGTTTGTCCTTGCTGTCCTTCGGTGCTGCAAAGATGCTTTTCCAAACAGCAGGAACCCCGAGAGCTTGGCTGCCGCCCCCAGCCGCCCGTCTCTGAGCTGGCAGGGTTTATGCAAAGGTAACGCCTGGGACTGTTTCCATCTCCGGCCGGTGGTGTCCTCGCTTGCAATTTAAACCATTCTCCCTTTGGCCGCTGAGTATGGAATACGCCGAGCAAAAAGCATCGGGTGCTGCCAGGAGGCTGCCCTGGGGACCAGGGCACACGCGACATCTCTGACCGCCCGGCGACCTTGAAACCCAGCCCGGCGCGAGGGAGGGCGAGCGGGGTGGCAGCGGGGACAGCGGTGGCCATAGGCTGAGCAGGGAGCGTGGTCCCACGCAGGAGATGATGCGCTCTGGCGGGAGCAGGAGTGGGGTGGCAGCAAACCAGGGCCGTGCTTAAGCAAGTTCCCACCCGCTGCTGAGCCCCACTTCCACCCCGTTCAGAGGTGTACCCACATTTCCCAACTTCTGCTGGCAGCAGGCATTAGAAGGGTTAAAACTGAAACCGAGACCATTTCTTTTCTTCCGCCCCCGAAATTAAACCACCTGCACCCAGAAATGCAGCCTGCATGCTTACTTGCCGTTTGACATAGAAACTTGGCTGGTTTAGGAGACTGGGCTCATGACAAAGTTACCCCTGGAAAATTAAAACAGGCATATTCAGTGCTTGCTGGTTTGGTTTTTAATCCCCGCAGAGGGGGGCAACAACGCTCGGACACTGCCGGAGCAGCCGGAGCCGCGCACACAGAGATGCCCTGTGCCGGGAGGAAGCCTGGCTCTGCACCGGGCACCCAGAGCGGTCGGCAGAGTGAGCTCCTCGGGAGGAGGCAGCCTGAAGGCAGGACAGAGTGGACTAAGCTAAGGGTGAAGTAGCTCCTACATCCCTCTTGGCAGTATAACAAAGGAAATTTGGAAAAAGATTGCCTTGGCACCACTCCTCCAGCTGAAGAAGGCCGTGGGATGGAGAGTGGCAGCGCTGGACCAGGACATACAGCACAGTACTGAGAAGTCAAGAAGTCCGAAGCTGATCCATCCGTAGCTGGAGGTTATCTCCTACCCCGTTCACATCAAGAGCAGTGTTTTACTTTTAAAAATGAGCACAGGTACTCAAGAGGATGCAGCTGATGCCTTTGTATCACTGAGTGCAGAACACGACCAGCAAACCTGCCACAAAACCTCATTTTCTACCACCACACTGGAGACGCGGAGGTCCCCAGACTGCGGGGATGAAGAGGTGGGGAGCGTTTCCAAAGGCAGCAAAGACACAGGTGGGTTTGCAGCAGGATCTGGTGCTTCAGGTTATCAAAATACAGAAAGGGTGACACGTCTTACCTTGTCAGAGAACTTGCCTCTTCAAGCCTGGTCCCACGGGAATGGCTGCGGTCCTGAGAGCATCCCACCAGCACCAGCCCAGCACGCTGCCCCGCTGAAAGCCCTGCCTGGCCCTGGTGGCCCAGAGGGGCTGCAGCAATCGGGGCTCACCCCAGTCAGCTGTGGGCACTCGGGGGCCCGCGGGCACACCGCTTCCGGGCAGGACGGGATGCTGAGGGGAGGACATGGCCCCACCCCATTTCAAATACACATCCTCGACAAAAAAACCTTGTTAGGCTCCTCAATGAACAGGCAATATTCTGCGGTTTATGGGATGTCATGCTATAATTGCATATATAATTTAAAACCAAATTTAGCTTCCAATTAAAGGTGTGGTCTGTTAGAGGTAGATGTTGCAGGTGAAGGAGATTCCAGGTGCCCAGGTGGGCCCCATCACTAACCACATGGCAACTCACCAATTTCCATTTGCAAAGGACGTAACAGGTAGGTGGTTTTTTATGTTTTAAAGAAAGCAGGCTGCCGCTGTCGCTGCGGGGCCCGGAGGCGCTGAAGGTTGCAGCCGGACTGAGCAGGGGCGAGGGGCCGCGAGCGGGACAGCTAGGGAAGCTCTCCAAACCGCGACCCCTTCCCCTTATCCCAGTCGTTTACACGTAGCAACAGAGGATGCAGAATGAACAGAGAAACACCAGATTTTGCAAAATATGTATATTTTAAAATTTGAACCAAGTACAGTTTGCATGTATTGCATGAGTCACATGCGGGTGAATACTAGAAAAGATAAAAATACTTGTGCACATACTTTATAAATCCAAGCATTTATATATAATTTATAAAACCTTTATAGTGTAAAATAGCTGTGATTTAGAACAGAAATTTTACACATAAAACTTCATGAATGTTCCCGTCAAACCGTGCCTTTCTTGGGACTAACTGGTTCCACCCCACAGCTTGAACACTCAGCTTGCTGTCAAGTTTTTTTCCAATTTTGGTCCCATCCGCCATGACGTGGCATCTCCACAGGGCTTCAGCTCTGCCCTGCAGCTGTATGTCATAAACTGCTCTTAACAAGGTATTTTAAAGGTGGTTTAAAGCCCGATGGCAGCGCTTCTGTGGTGTGTGGGAAGGAGGGAGACCGAGGACGGGACCCCGTGGCTTTGGTGGCCCGAGCCCCGTGCTCCCCAAAGCACAGGCGTGAGTGGGCACGTGCCCTGCTGAAAGCCTCGCTGAAGCTGTTTACATGCACAGGTGAAGTCCACCCAGCCTAATTTAAAACAGTTTATCCACAGCCTGGGCAAATCTAAAAAGGGTTAAAATTTCTGCCTGCGTTTCTTCTGGAGAGTACCGACCTGGTCTTAACATCGTGTGTTCCTTCCACGAGCATGCCTCCCGCTCCTCAGACACAACTCCCAGCTACATTTTTGGAACTTGATTATATTTATCCAAGCGGTCAACTGATGGCAAAGCATCTCCTTTACATTCTTCAGCCTCATTTTTCTTGCAGCCAAGGCGACGAGCGCGCCCGGTTAAAACGCCGGCTTTCACTGCACGCTCTGCCAGGGAAAGGCACCGGGGCCGTGCTTGAAGCTCCGTGAGCATAGCGTGTTACGTTTCTCTAGCCAAGCAGACCACATTCACCGCTGTATTTCTCAACAGCTCCTTGGTCCAACAGCTGATATATATATTTTTTAAAATAAGCAGCCTGAGTTGCAGCAACAGCCCTCCTATGAACACTCCTCAGCTGCTATTCTACAAGTGCATACATGGTATTGCACGACGCATGGAAGACCGACTGTAACGCTGCACAGCACCAGAAAATGATGGCATCGTATCATCGCCACACGTTGTAGTCACCAGAGTCACCACTCAGCTCCTTCCACAACGCGGTTTAAGGACATTACTTGTCACCCCTGCACGATAAGAAGGACTTTGTCCCATCATCTAGACAGGGAAGCTAAATCCGAGTTAAACAGTTTGAACACAAGTCTCAACATTGCCGTAACAACACTGCTCAGTTTTATGTAGGCAAAAGATCTTTTAGTGGAGGCTTTCTTATTCATATCCAAGATAAATTTGTTACAAATCACTTAAAGGGTTTTGTGTTGGATTTTTTTTACTTCTGTTATAATTTTTTGTCTGGTTGGTTTTGTTTTAGTTTTTTTTTTTTTTCGGAGGAATTACAGTGGGTAAAAACCACACGCCCAGAACTAGCCAGGTCTGGCAGTGCCATCAGAAGACACTATGACAAGCGACAAGTACAATAATCATCAGGTTTCTTTAGGGAAATGCTCGGCCATGCCCAAGTGTGGCCGACTCTGACCTCTGCCGATGCTGGCTGCTAAAGAAACTTCCACCAAAGCCCAACAGTGGGAAGGTGCCAGCACATGAAGAGCCTCCACCTCCACATCACCTTCCCATCTTCAGCCACTCTTCCTTCGCCGCCAGTCCCCAGGGGATAGCGGGACATGGGCAGAGCTCTGCATGCCCCAAGGACAGCACTTTGCTCTTGGCTGGTTGCCTCTTCCCCCACCCCACCAGCCGCTTGCTCCCCTGTGCCCCAAATGCGAGCCCTTCCATGGCCAGCCGGAGCACCCCCACAGCCTGGCAGGCAGTTTTGCAGCCCAGGGAGCCCTGGGGCCGGTGTCCCACAGGCACAGCCACGCTCCCCGGCACCCCCAACCCCACGGCAAACCAGCCACTGCTGCCGCTCCGGCAGGGATTTTGGCTTTGTACTCTTTGCTTGTCATCTTTAGTCGTCTGGGCCAGGGACTAATTATGGGCCAAAGTGGAGTTGGCACTTTCTAACCCAAAGTTATTTGTGTACAGCGATTCCCATGACTCTTCCGAATCGGGTATTTTAGGCCAGTGCAGAAAGGCACAAAACACTTTTTTGGTGAAGTTACCAGCCTCGATCGCCTCATCGCATCTCTGAAATGGTGGTGCCATACATGACCTGGTAAGGAGGGCGCTGCGCTCACATCAGTCCTAACAGCTCGTGCAGCAGCGGCACGAGCACGGTGGCACTGAAGCCAACTGAGGAGTACGTTATAAATTTATACGGCACTTCGACTTCCAGTCGTCTCCGGGCTTCCAGGTCGCCAATGGGAAACTTGTACCGATAACCCAGCATGCCGAGGACCACGGTCTTCATGAGCCGGCGTGTCAGTAGAACAACAAAGATACCTACAAAGAACCTGGCTAGCACGACCACCGCTATTTTACTGGTGATCAGAGGATACCCAAGCTGAAAGTTTTCTCTGGTGTAGGCTGGTGCAGCATACTGGTTATTTAACCAAAACCCCACCGTTGCTCCAGCTCCTGCTCCTAAGATAGTAGTGGTGTCTCCCCTGGTGGGGCTGTAATAGTCTAGTTTGGGGTAGTTGTAACATAAGACAAGAGGCACAACTATGGAAAGAAGTGGACAGAAGGGACTGGTTAACAGCAAGTGATCGATCGTGTCCCACGCAGGATACAAGAGCACGAGCAGCACAGCCGAAATCAGCGCTCCACCGATCACATCCTGCAAAGAGAGCAAGCACGTTTAGAATCTTTGTGAGACCTGGCAGGCAGAACAGAAATTCCCAGGCGATAATAAAAAGACCAACGTGTGCATTGGTGAGCGCGCAGCAGCGGAGGAACGCCCCAAATTCACAGCGATGGCACTGTCCACGCACAGAGACAGCTTGAAGTGCTGTCAGCCTTGTCCTCAACAAAACGTGACAATCCGTGAACCCAACCTTAGCTTTGTCATCGTGAACATATCTATTGACTCACATTTTCCCCTGAACGAGTGAGATTCTTCCCCTCACCTGCTTTCATGTTTTCTGGGCACTGTCCACCTACGACCTCAGTGGAAAAGGTGCAGGCACAACTCCATCTCAGGGACGATGTCACAGCAAGCTGCCTTCATACAAACCCTTCCTCCCCCATAATCCTGCAAGTAATTTCATCATATCAGTAGGATTATCGCTTCCTTGCTTTGCATAAGTGGGAAGATGCTGTCGTTTGCCAGAGACAAGCGCCCAGTCCAGAAACACAGGCTCCGGGGGAGAAAAGCCACAGAGCTGCGGGACACGGCGTGTGCGCCACGATTTCTGCCGACTGCGGCGAGAGGTATGCACCGCCGGGCAGGAATACATCAAGGAGAAGTTCGTTGCCCAAGCCTCTGAAATCTGGCTCGTAGTTAAGTGCCCGAGGCAAGCACATAGTTAAAACCTAATTTATTAACAGAGGCAAATAAGGTGTTTTGAGAACTTGATTGCTGTCAACCACAAGGCTGGGAAGGGAGACAAGAGGTAACCCCTAACAAACGGCCTCTGTATGACAGCAGCCAGATAAAAAGCAATATAACAAGTTTCCCTGTGCCGCTCACCCAATGTCTCTCAGAAGGCAGCAGAATTTGTATTCCGACCATGAAATGCCCTGCAAAAGCCAGAACTCATCTCAGACAGAAACGTCCTCTTCTCAAGGCTGTATCTTTTTCACCGAGTCATGAGAGTTGACTGCTACCATGCTTGGTCACCATCTAAAATGAATTATTTATGAGAACTTCATTTATAGTTAGGCAGGAATGAGGGGACTTTTTCTCAACAGAAATATTTAATGACTTTCTGGTAAATGCATTACTCCAGTATGGCTGAACTTTAGCTGTTTAAAACTTCCAGGCAATAGATTCCCAGCACATTTGGTTTTAAGCCACTCCCAGAGCCATTCTGCATGCTCCTAATACAAATCTCCACTTACATGTATTCCCTCATCCATGACATGAGGATAGCTGTGGAAATACACAAAGTTGTTCGCAGATGTCTAATATGTAAAATACTGTTAGGTGCCAATATTTCACAACAGCACAATAATCCATCTTTTGATACCAACTTTTAGATGGTAACTTTACACGCAAAGGCGTGTTTTGGCCCAACGCTAAGTAACTGCACCCACACAAAAGACCTGGGGGTTGCTCCCCGAAACGATGCTCAGAAATCCCATCACCACTCTGTACATCCATTTCCCACCCCACTATTTGTCTACCTCATATTAGTAGAAAAAGTCCTGACATCTCAATACCCCCTCCGCGTGTGATTGAGGAGTGAAACTCAACAGCTGTTCAGGTGCTTTTCTGTTCCAGTTAAAGACATTTAACCAAATGCTTTGCTCAGATTTACCCAACTGACTCCAGCCATTCCCGGCCGGGGCACAGGCAGTCTCTATTTATGGACTTGACTAAAGTTTTCTGATTTTTATTATCCTCCTGTTCAGTAACACAGCTCCTGCAGTTTTCAAGCAGGATGCAGATAACCAGTTCTGCTCCCCACCAGTGCCTTATACCAGTGGTCTCCAAAGCGGGTGTGCAAGGCAACCCATCGGGCTGTGGGAAGAAAATAACTTCTGCAGCACTAATAAGTAAAATAAAAAATATATATGTTTTTAACATAGTGCTTATTTCATCCTTATCTCATCCTTTTTTAATTTATATTTTTGTGTATGTTTTATAATGTATGTACCAATGCAGTAGTACATGTATCTCATTCACAAGTAAATATACATATATCGGGGCTGCATGCTCAAACATTTTTTACTGATGGGGTGCGCCATCAAAAAAGTTTGGAGACCAGTGGTTTATTCTGTGGTTTTTTTTCCCCCCATCCACCAATGTATGGGTTTTCTCATTTTGGAGACTCCTTACTAGAAGCTGCTGGAGAGCCGGGACATACCGAGCTGCGGCCGCCAGTAGTGACTGCCTTTGGTTCAGGTATGCACGAGCAGAGGTTTGATTTTCTGAACACCCAGAAGAGGTGGGTGAGTTCAAGACTGACACTTAACAAAGACATTTAGCAGTGCAGAATTTATGATTTTCCCCCTCTCGCCTGTTAAACTAAGGAGAAGGTGGGAAGAAGAGGGATGGCTCTGATTTCCATCAGAAAAACTTTTTTCCGGACTCTCCCTGCCGTGCCCCCAGGAGCGGGACCCCTTGCTTTTCCCAGCGGCGGAGCTGCTGTTAGCACTCCCAGGAAGCACATTCTTGCCTCTCTGACTGTGTAAACAGATTAGCCTCTTGCCAAACCCGCAATTATAAAGGAATTTTTAAATGAGGGCAGGCACGAATTTTGCTCAAGGTGCAGCACTACCGGCAAAGCTTAAAACCCCCCATTTCCCTGCTGGGATGCTCCAGCTCCCTCAGCACAGACAAGTCCACCGCAGGCTCCATCCCTCCCAAAAAAAGTCCCCCCTGCCGCTGCGCTGCTTGGCCCCGCTCCCGCACAGCATCCGCCCCAGCCACTGGCATCTCCCCGAGTTCCACACAGGGGAGACCTCGCTCCTATCGATTTTAACTGGAAAGCCATCATTTCGCTTTGCCACCTAAAGCACAGGCCAGTATCGTGTTTCTAACTCCACAAGACCTTCATGTTACTTTCCCTGTGCTACAGGTGCGTAAATTAAAACAAGGGAGGTAAACACGCAGTTGCAGGCGATGGGTGGGATGCGGGGCTGGCGCGCTGCAGAGTGCTCTCTGCTCGGCACCGAGGGAGCACGGTCCATGGGTGACGGCATCACAGCTGCCCCTCTCACTATGGGCTGGAGTTTTTTTGGTTCACAAAGTCTCAGAGCACGATTTTTATTGTAGGATTGCAAAAGCGTGTGGTCTGGCTTTCTGAAGGCAGGACCCTTCTATGCTCTTCCCATTGAAACTACGGTCGGAATTGCAAACGCTCACAGAAATGCCCCCAGAATATCAAACCAGCACCCAGAACACACACGGTGGCACTCAAGCATCTTCCCTGATATTGCCAATCAAAGCAAAAATAGCACTTTTCCTATTCTGTCTTGTATATGGTCACTTATTGCCCAAATTCCCTTCACACTTTCGTTTAGTTCAAGACGCTACTCGCTCTCCTCACCAGGAATCTCCTTTGCTTTCCACTCCTAAAGGAGTGCTCCATCCCACGGGGACTGTGCTGCTGCAGCGGGTAAAGTGATGCCAATATGCTGTTTGCTTATCAGCTTTCAAATATTTTAAGATAATTTCAGGATTAATGGCAGCGTTAAAATACCCGAGATACAGCACGGCAAAGGAGCCGGGGGCGGGGGGGGCTCCTGAGCACCCTCCCCGCAGGGGGCTGTAATCAGCAATAAATGCATCAACACTGAATCGGTATATCTCGGGGGGGGGGGCAGGGGGGGAGGAATTACTTTGTTTACAGAAACAATTTCCAGGTTTCTTTTCGGTCATAAAAAGTGACCTTTTGACTTCTCCCTGTATCCCACCCCCTACACTGGCCGGACCAGGGCGTTATTGCTTCTAACCCAGGTGGCCCCAGTAGGGGGCTGTGGTACCAGTGAGTCACTCACACGGTGGGTGGTGGTTCTGGAGTGACTGGTGGCCTCCCCAAGCCCCCGCTGCTGGCTGAGGGCAGCCGGGAGGGGACCTAGCTCTGCCACCACAGTGAAGGCCAAACCCATCAGCTCAGCGCGTTAAGTGAATTGCCACTGCTGGTCCTGAAGGGTCAGAAGGCGGCTAAAAGCCTCCCCTCCTCCCCCTGCTCCGGGGGTGGCCCTCGGCGCACGCAGTTCTTCCCAATGGGATTTGCAAGGATCTTGCGCTCATCTTTTTGGAATACTGTGCACTCAACACGGGCACCATCACCCACCGTTTCAAATATGAGATGACTCAGACATGCTCCAGCAACGGTGAGACAGAAAGACTTGTTAGTCTCACTGAGACAGGGATCAAAAATTGGGCCAAAGTTTTAAGATGGGGAGTAAAGGGATATTCGCTAAAATACAAATGTTGGGGAAAAACAAACAAACAACAACAAACCCCAGTCCTAGTGTCTCCAATTGCTTTTTGTTCCTTAAAAATAACCCCTAAAATGTTACAGGTTCTCTGCTTTCAAAACGCGTCCAAATTTTCACTTTTCCCTTTCCAGGTAACTCCAGATTCCCTCTTCACCAGTTCCTCAGACTCCATCATTTAAGACCCAAAAGGAAGAACCCTGCCTTTCCCCTGCTTCTCCACAAACAGGGGATATTCTCGTGTCACGGTGGTGAAGGCGGGTTGTTGTCATTAAATTATCTCTCAGCAGTGCAAGTGTATTGTTCCCATCCCTTTCTCCGCCTGGGTGACGCTCGCCTGGTAACAGCCCCGGCAACGGGTGTTTATTCCCTTTTCCTAATCACGGCATTCATTCTGATATGGCTATAACGATGCAGACAGCTCTCATACCGGCTTCAGTGCATCTCCAGAAGGTCTTTAATTGTAACATCTCTTCTACTGACATGACTGTGCTTTTTGAGGCCGCTCCTGATCCAAAAGCAGTGCCTGCGATGCTGAAATACAGACGGATTTGTAGAGTTGAGGGTACAGAAGAGGAGCCCCTGCACCGGAGCTTCAGCTCCAGCTGTAGCAAAGCACGGTGCAGCCACCTTGCCACCCCTGCTCCGGTTCCTCAAACAGGAAAAATTCAGTTACATTCATTCGGTGGATATATTTTACGCATTCATTTGCATTACTAAAATATTATGATCGCTTAATACATAATTATATCCTGTTGGTATTCATTTTCTATTAAGACCTGGGTTAAGAATTCATTAGATAGAGGCCGTTTTCGGCTAGTGACTTGGCTGAGCAGCTGCTGCACCTCCATCCCACAGCATCCCGGGCAGCTCAGGGTGGGAGCCATCCCTCAAAGTGCGGCAAACGGCTCTGAACTGCACTTCTTCCCCAAGAAGAACCCTGTCATCGCAGGTGGGATGCCAGAACTCATCACTGCAGGTGAGGGGGGACGGCACCGCAGAGAGAGGGGTGGCATTTGGGCAGCTGTGGTCACCAGGCATTTCCCCAGCTCCATCCCCACCATGGCACACACGAGATGAAGACCCGACCAAAGTACGCTCGCCCTTTTGAAAGGCAGCATTGCTCACAGTTCAGCTAAGGAGCTTTTTTTTTCTTTTATTTTAAAGCCCCTTTTTATCACGTCAAAGGCACAAAGGGCTTTTTCTTTTTTACCCTAAAATCCATCTAAATTTAGAGGAGTCTTTCATTACGATAGACCAGCAAGGGAAGTATGTGAAGAATTTTTACAGATTGACTTAAGGTCACCAGCCAAGAAAGGGTGTCTCCAGCTTCCATTTAAGATATTGTTTTGATCCGCCAGGCCTGCAAGGGAAGGTCAACCTATATTTTATAGATAACCTTAATCTCATAGGGGCTCCCTTTCTTACATTCATCAAGCCTCCTTATTATAACAAACATAATTATTACTTAGTAAAAAAAATGCAATCATTTATGCACATGCAACCAACCAGCAATGTGCATCACATTCCTGCGGGGAAGTAGCCGGCAGTTTTTATCCGCACTTGGGAAGCTGGACCACCCCTCGGACCTCTATCTGTAGCAAATCAATGTTTCCCCTCGCCAGGAAGGAACCAGCTACCGCCTAATCGGAGTCACGCTGAAACCTGTTGTTAAAGCAGGGCTGACACGACTGCCCAACGAGACTGTCATATAAAGTCACCGATATTTTATGATTATTTTCGGAGAAAGTATTTGTGCATCTCAATCCTTTAAGAATAAATTTCCTACCAGCTGAAAACAAGAAGCTTGTCATAATATTGTTTTAAGTGCCATGTGCCTGTATGGTAACACGAGACTTGCTGTTCCCCAAGGGCAGCTCACTTGTCACGTTTCACCCTCTCCTCTCTCCACTGGTCACCCCCAGCGTGACTCACCAACCTGCTATTCCTTCCCCGGGCACTCCCAGGCTAAACCAGCCCCGAATATTTGTCACTGACAACAGTGATACTATTGCACAAAAGGCTTAGCTAAGGAGCAGCGCCAGTTGCCCAAGTGCATTTCTCGCAGTTAAAATTTCAAAATAGAGAACTACAATTCCGATGCCACACCGACCTCACCCAGCGCCTCAACCCACACGCGCCGCCGCTTCCCCGATGGTATAAATAATTCCCCTGCGGACTCAAATAGCAATAGCCTGAGGGTCTCCTCACAGCTGCCTTTGACTGTACAGCCTGAAACTTGGTGGCATGACTCCTATATCCCGGCAGTGGCACGGCCAAGGCAGGACGTGCATCGCTTGAAGACTGGGAGATGGGAACGGCTGTAGGTAAGCAGAGATGGAGGCACGACGGGCACGGGGCGGCGCAGGGCATCCTTACCAGGACTGTGTGCATCCCGGTGTAGAGCCTGCTGAGACACACCAGCGTGGAAAACACAAATGCTGCGACCAGGCCTAGTTCGAATGGATACTGCAAAAAGGGGAAGAAAAAAAAAAACAACCGCACATTACACCATTACCCATTCTAACATCAGTATATAGCGGAAATAAAACATCCAAGCAGCCGGACTGACATAAGGATCTTGCGTCAGGGAGCAGGTCCTGAGCTGTACTTTCCCAAAGAGATTAACGTGAGCCAAGACAAGACCTCACACCGGCTACGTGCAGTCCTGCCAGAAGGTCATCTCATTATCTGTTGTGCCCACTGCTGTGAAAGTCCAGTCTCAGCATGGGGAAACCTGGGAAATAGACGGTATTTGCTGAGTTTTTCCCCCACAGCATCCACCTGCAAATTCCATGTTAGTGCTAAAGACCTTAAGGAAAAAAGGCACAGCACGTTGTACAAGCGATGCCCGAGGTTGAACTGCAGCCTCGGATCACCCGAGGGGAGCGCGACAGCCACAGAGCCTGACCAGAAGCGTGATCGATAGTCCTCGAGCAGCAGGCTGGGAGGGGGAAAAAAATCAATGTCTGGGCTGAAACCGCAGTCCAGCTATTAGAGTAGTCAGGGCCGCTCTGCCCTGTGACGCTTAAGGTTTAATCATCGTCTTATGAAGCTTAATTCCCTCTCCGAGTTGCCTGTGAACACAGAAAGCAGTGTTAAAATAAATCAACATTTTAAAAGGAAAAAAAAAACAACCCACATATGGTAAAGCATAACCTTAACATATTAGCCCTTAATCCACTCATTCAAATCCTCAAACCGAGTGGGCTGGTGGGCTCCTTTCAGTCCATAAAGAACATTTTTCTGAAAAAAATAAATCAACCCAAAATATAAACAAATTAAATCAATTCACCCGATTTGACACAAAGACTCCATCTACTGCCGAGAAACTGATGACTGAGCAGCGCAAAAATGCTTCTGTGGAAACATTAAGCGTAACAACTCGCTTCTGACCCTTTTTCCCTGGCGTCCTCTAGCCCCCAGAACAGAGAGCTCAGACCCAGCTGCAGGTGTCACTCCCAGTTCATAAAACTCTGTTTTTTCCTCACTTCTCTAAGCCTTTGGAGGATTTACGCCCACTTTATTCCCCCCCAGCAGGCAGCCCGGGAGCTAGTCCAGATCGGTAATTGATGACGAGGGCAGCTTTAGAAGATAGCAGCATAATGTACTGGTAGATTTTTCCTTCTTAATAGAGGCAATTAAATCATTTAATTATTTTACAGCAGCTTTATTGTTTCATGGCTGTTTCCAAGAAGTATGAGACAGCCCATGAAGAGCCACGTATCCCACTGGTAGCTTATCAATCGAGGAGGAAGAGAAAGTGTTGCTGACCAGATCTTTTTGGCAGATCTGACACATGGGATGGATCCGGCCTTCCAGGGCTGACAAATACCCCATTCCATATCTCCTCCTCCCGTTCTCATCCCACTGCCAGGCTGCTGTGACCAGTTCTCCTGCCATTTCCAGGCAGCAGGAGGCTGGCAGCACAGCTTCGGGCACCACTGACCCGCTCACTCATCCCTGAGCTGTGGGCAGGAGCAAAGCCCACTGCTTCATGGCTGCAACTGGCTGAGCCTGGAAGTTAAATTAATTCCGAGATCTCGGTGTAATTCAGAAATCTCCATTTCTATGAGTTGCAGCCCCAGGATGCAGCACCGTTTGTCAAACGGGTGGCCACCTTTTGTCCCTGCACACAGGCTGGCACCGTGGGGAGGACACTCAGGGACACCGTGATGGTGAGGCCCCCCCTGCTGTGCTGCGAGCCCTCTTGGTTACACGGGTTTATCTTTGAAATACACCTGAGGAGGCTAAGAAATACAGCACAGCCAGGAAGTTATTATTGCCAGAGTACAGGGAAGACGTGTTTGGATTCATAAAATGAAATGCAAACAATCATCACGGAGAAATGGGTTTCTGGGAAATAAACCTTTCAGAAGGATAAAAGGCTGAAGGTTTGGGGAAAAGAATTATGAGCTCTCCCCAAGCAGCCTGCAACCCCTGTGCAGTGATACTGCTGTTACTTCTCTGACAAAAAGAGAAGCTGTTGTCTCAATGTCTCAAATCATGTTGTACGCTATTAGTCTAACGCAGGCTAGAGCCAGGGGATTTCCAAGGATGCTTTTCCTGCATCATACAAAAACCAGGCAACACAGAGCTCCTTTGGTTTCCCCAGGAGCCAGTGTTTCCTGACGTGCAGCGTTGGCTCGGCAAGCGCAGGGCGAGCACAAAACGCCGCTGCCGGGCATCTCCCACAGCAGCACCGCAGCTCCCTCCAGGCTCCCGCACACCGAAACACAGCGAACCCGCCAAACCACAGCAGGGCAGCGCAGCCCACCCACGGCTCGCACTAAAGAACAGAGGTTTCCACTAAATTTCTTCTTGAGTGTATTATCGGCCAGCTATGGGCTGCAACAGGGAGAAATATGCGTCTGTGAAATGAAATGCAGAGTTCCTCTGGAAGTGGCAACAGCTTTGGATTTGCCAGTTTTCTGCAGCTTGCTGGAAGCAGACACATAATTTTCTTTTTCTTTCTTTTCTTTTTTTTCCTTTTTTTTTTTTTTTCGTACCCCCTACCTTGTACTGGTTCGTGGTTGCAATGAGGAAGGAGAAGGAGATGGCAGTGGCGGCCATGGCGTGGGTGGAAGGCATCCCGTACTCTGCATCCGTCCTCATTTCCAGCTTGACAACAGGTGGTGAGAGGGGCCGAGGCCACTTGAGGATGTCCTTGGAGACCTGGCCTATGTACATCACGATCTGGGGAGAGGAAAGGCCACAGCGTTGTCAGTCAGCGCGGGCAATCCCCACTCAGCCCACCCGAGAAGCACCTCTATTTCTGCCCCTTTTCCTGCAAAAACCACCACCCCAAGTGGGGAATTTATTGCCTGAATTATTAAAGGGGTTTCCATTATCCCGGTCAGCGAAGGAAGCGGTGGTTTTACTGCACCACACTGTAACCTGATCAGAAGTGGGACCAAAAGGAGGGTTCGCTGACGAGATGCATCAATGCAGGATGGCGTGAGACGGACAGCTGGCTCCCACCCCACGCTAGAGAAGTTTAAGTTTCCTCCCAATCCCTTACAACCCCTCTCCCCCAGAGCAAAGAGCTATAAGAGAAATTTTTCCGCCACCGCCTTCAAACCACCACCTCGCCAAGCCGCATCCCTCCCAGCTCCGCGCCGCTGCTCTCCCAGCGCAGCACCAGCTCTCCCATTCCCCGCAGCTCCCACTCCACCCACCACACAAGGTGCCGTGGGGATGCAGCGCCGGTGCGGTTATTAAATAATAACCTTGGCATCCTCGGGGAGGCAGCAGAGAGAAAACTGGACGAGCAACTAAAGTACCAGTTCTCCTGCCTAACTCCCCAACAACAAAGGGGTTTTGTGCCCTGCTTGGGACACCAGAGGTTTAAGCGAGGGCTCCATTAATTAGCTACCGAGCACTACAACACAGGGATTTTGGAGGAAAAAGTTGCGTTCCTGGGTCACGACAAGCAGTAGCAATAGGAGGCAAAGCTGGCCAGCATCCCCGAGAGATGCAGCCCGCCCAGCAGCACCCAGGGCACCCCCCCTGCCGACCACCCTCTGCTCCTCAGCACCCTCTTCCCAAAGGCAACGGGCTGTCAGCATCCACAGCCAGAAGGCTGTGAACAAAAATCACCCAGTCTGTCCCTGGAGTATGTATTTGCTTCCTATTGCCACCCTCCTCCCTTTAGATAGCGCAGCCAGCCGTATGCAAAGCAAGCTCTACAAAACAAAGCAAACCCTTTTTCTTTCTTTTTTTTTTTAAATACAAAAATCAGGTTAACTGACGTCTGCTATGAAAGCTCAGTTGCTGTGCGAGACGGCTCGCCGTTCTGCTTCTCACGCTTCCACTAGCAAAGGAGGGGTCTTAAAATAACATCCTTCCCATGCTGGTGCGAGCCATATGCCAGAGCAGCAACATGATCATCCGCTGCCACAGTTGCCACCAGCCACATTGCATCCCTCTCCCTCCCACCAGCCATTTAAAAAAAAAAAAAGGGTTCACATTCAAAGGAAGACGTCAGGATTCACGACCCACAAATCGGAACCAGGAAAAAGCCAAAACATCACGTTCCTTCATCCTCCTCCCTACAGCAAAGGGCATGCCGCCGGGAGCGCTCGGCTCACAGCCAGCACCAGAGCCTGGAAAAGCGACTGCTGGTGCCTCTGCATCCTTTATCCCTCATTACATGAATCACATCACCGCCTTATTATTGGCACCACCTGTGGCACGCCTGGCTGCTCCTACTTCACCCTGATATATGGGGCATAGGGCAGCCAGCAAATACCCTGCCCCGGCTGCTCACGGTAAACAAAGGCTCAAGGAACGAGTGTCTTAAAGAAACCACTGCGTGGGTTTATTTGGTTAATGCCACCGGTTTCCAAATGGATGCAGGCACATCTTTGGAAGTTAATTAAATTCCAGGGTTGAAAGCAAAATTACTCTCTCCGACGAAACATAAAACATTGAGGCTACCATCCGTGATACCATCTGAGAGGCAAGGTAGGACGAGCCAGTTTATCAGCAGTCCTCTATAATAATGACTTCCACTTGTAGAAGTATTATTAGCACTAGTACGTAAGAGTATTACAGAAAGGGAAATGAGTCATCTTTGAAATGAAGGCTATGCTAGGACTCCTCTGATGGTGAAAAACAGGCTGAATGCTGGAGGTGGTATGGGCAAGCAAAAATAACAAGCATCCTCACAACACCTTCCTTCCTGGCATTCCAGATTAAATTCGGACCCTTCTGTTTTTTAAAAACACATATTGTATAGACATGTACAGTAATGAGAGGTAAGACAACCTCCATAAAATACAAAGGGGAATATGCCAGACCAAGCACTGCCCTCTGAAGCACCAACCTTTGCCTTTAGCTTATCTGGGTGCCGTGCACGTGATTTTACGTGCAATATCCCGGATTATTTGGCAGAAGCGGTGGTTGTGGGTGCGGTAAAACACCTCCCATCAGCTGAACTGGCAGGCTTCCCCGAGAAGGCGAAAGATGATGAGAGCATCATTGCTAAAAGCCACCCAGCAAAGGTGTTGCACGGCTGGAGGACAACAGGACCACCCAGGCTCTTCGGCTCGCAACATGGCAAAGCAAGTGGCCCAGAGCTCCTGCCAGATGTGCCTGTGGCGGGCAGAGGGGTGCCCTCCCCAGGGAGACGGCCCCCCAGCACGGAGCGGGGCAGGCAGAGCACAGCTGGGAGCCGCGCATCCCTCCCCAGCCCAGCGCATCAGCCAGCCCCGCTGGGGACCACCACGTGGCCACTGAGGGCAATACCCCTGCCAGCTTACCAGGTACAAAATCCCAGAGCTCAGCCACAAACAGTAAAAAATAAATAAATAAAAAGAAGTAGGCAGCCACTGCGGATGCGGTCACTACGTGACAAGTGTTGCGCAGAAACACACTTAGAGCATTATATTTAATTGCAGGATATATGTGAATTGCACTCTACTGCAGCTCTCCTCTTCTGAGGGAGGTAGGTATCTGCCTCGGTTAAGTGGCGTATTCTCTCTCAAGCCACATTTCATTATTTCCTGACCTTATTTCTCTCTTATTTTGGATTTACTCTCTAACAGTCCTGGGAAAGAAAGCAAGCAGCCTGAAATTTCTGGCCTGTTACCAGCTTTTTTCGATCTAGCAGATGAGAAAACTCCCATAATAAACATCGTAAACCATAAGCACTGGAGAGGAAGAGAAGGGAGACGGAGGGATCAGCATGGCTAAAGATCGACACTGAGCTAAGCCTCACCTACGCTTGACTTGAATTACCTATTTGCACAACACTAAAAATGTTTGCCAGCCCTGGAAATAGATTTAGCATGGGCAGAAATTACCCCAAGTCCACACCGGCAGGTAGCTTGGGCTTGCTTAGGTCTCACAGCCATGATCACAGGACCGGGCGATTTGGCTGTGATTTCCAGCCTACCCCATGGAAGCCAAACAGCACATTCACAATGGCTTCGGACAAACAGGGGAGGGGAGTTAAGGTTGGACCCAGGAGTGTGTCACCCAGTAGCCACCGATCGGCCACAGGTTTATGCATTTCCAAGTCTAAGGAAGGGTGAGCCCCTGGGCTTTACCCGGCTCCCCCTTCTTCAGAAGAGCAGGGAAGATTTAGAGGGGAAGAGGGGGCCTAGGCTCAGATCATGCTAATTGAAGATTTAAATAAAACCATTCCAAAAGTCTTTATGTGCTCCTGGACTTTTCCACCTGATGGGTCTGCAGTCCCCAAGCTGAACACTGGAGAGGAAAGGGAACAACAGACCCTTGAACACCGAGCGAGCAAACACTGTTTGCAGTCGCGTAGGCATGGCAAAGAAGAGAAACCTTGAAGCAAATAATTTCTTCATCCTTTATTATTCTGTTTGCTTCTTCCCTACGTTACTGATATTTTTTGCCTACCTAGAGTGCTATACTACAGCTCTCGGTGCCATTCTTCTGTGTCTATTTCTAGCACAGGCTCTCTTCCACTCCGTCCAAGTGACGCAGATCAACCAACATTTTCTGCAGTTCTGGTGGAAAAAAGTTTGCAGACATCTTCAGCATAAATAATTTTAATTTGCACATTAATAAGTACCTCTGCATGGGGAATTTGGAGACTTTTCCATTACGGAAGCAAGAAAGTCAAAGTGGTGATGGATTGTATAGGACACAATTAGCCGGAGAACATAACTACACAGAAATGCATGGGAATTTAGTTGTGATTTCACAGAAGTTGGTGGGATGGGCATGGCTAATTCCCTTTACTCTGAAGGCTGGCGGCAGCAGCTCTAGCTACCATGTACCTCAGAGTGTTCAAACTTCCCAAAATGAAACTTAACTGTTTCACACCTGAGTTACAAAGATGTGTTGGCAAACGAGGGGGGCTGCTGGGGCTGGCAAGGAGGGAGGGGAGCTGGGGTTCAAGGATGGGAAAGGGAAAAGCACCACAGGTCGACACCGCAGCCTTCCTGGGTCGCCTTCCCGTGTCACTACACACCCACAAGCGGGAGCCCAAACCTGGGCAGAAGTGCAGCGATGCTCCTGGGCATCAGAGAGGTCCACATGTAGAGCCCTCACCCCCAGACCCTCACCAGTTTCCCATGGGAGTGTTCTGTTAGGGGAGGCAAAGGGACTCCGCTCTACCTCTGTATGGGCAAGTCCCACCAGCTACAGTTGTGACAAATGCCATGATGTGAGACCCCACTAAAGAAATGATGGCAAAAGCAAGGTGGACGGACCATCACACGGGAGCAGAGGTATGGTGGAGGGGTCACTAGCAACAGCCAGGCACATGTATAACGCAGAGAAATGCTGCTTTCCCTCTGTATTGAGGTGTGAGCACACACACACAAGGAAAAGCTGTTCACATGCCACCGCCACAGCGGGGACCCTCAGGGAGTTAGGTCAGCTCCCAAATATTTGCAACATCACTTGACAGTGACACAGCAGCACCAGCCGGTGATGTAGGAAATACTACTCATCTCCCCCGCCCCTTCCTCCAAAGCCACAGGGAGGTGGTCCATGGCTGCGGGTCCTCCCTGCAGGCTGCACAGCTCCTGCATCCCCTGAGAAACACAAACCAGGTGCTTCGTCTGTGTGGCTGAACCCACGAGCTGCATTCACCAGCAGCAGAGAGCCCAGGGCTCGGCAAGGCAGGCTTTTCCTCCCCAGGGCTCCTGCTCTGCACGGGAATATATCACCCACGCCTTGTCCTGCTCCACGCCGAAGCAGTAAGCAGCCTG